TAAGGGGCGTGTGCTTGAGAGAGGCTCTATTCCCAATGTTTCAACCAAAAAATCAGCTGTGGGCTCTGACCTATTTATTCTAAAGGTAAACTCAACCTTGCCAAGCCTCCCAAAAGATGGAGAAAGAATACAGCCTGACTGGCCAGTGCCATGGACTAGGGTCACCTTTCCTAGTGTTGTAAAAGCCTTTCGACTTTGATTTTTCTTTCGTGATCTTACATGAGCTAGTCTCTTCACTGCAGTTGTACTTTGCACAGACACCAATTAGCGAGCCATCAGCATTGGGGTCCAAAGGCTTACTGACAATGCAACTGTCATAGTGGTTGGTGACTTAATTGGTTGAGTGTAATTGTCATTAGGCAGCGATAAAGACATCTGGAGCTCTGGAGAAAAATCAGCCATGTTTTCCTACCTCCCATCGATAATTTGTTCTTGCTTCTTCTGGCCAATGTAGTTAAGTATTTTTAGATCACAATTAGTGTTTGGTCCAGGTCCCTCTGCCCCAACCAATGTTTCACCCTTGTGAAAATGTCTGCTTTGCTCGCACAAGTTCATTAGTGCTCAGCCTGACTCCCACTCATAGTCATTTTCACTTGTTAGATGTGAGGGCCGGCTGCTGGGTTATCACCAGTACCTGCTGAAACAGGATAGTTATCTTTGTTTCCATCCATAAAGGAGACATGGAGGCTTGTGTGTTTTACCTCTTGAGTCATTTTGCAGCCAAACATTTGCGTTATTAGCCTCTTTGGCTATAAAGAATGGAGGAGTTTAAATAGATATCTATGGGAAAACTTGTGCTTGCCAAAATAATTTAGCTTATCCCATGTTTTGAAGGAGCCCTGGTGGTGCTATAGGATAAGCACCAGACTGCTAGTCATAAGGTCGATAGTGCAAACCCCCGGTTTTCTACTCCTGTAAAGATTTAAAGCCTGGAAAACACTATTAAATGGCCTCTGAGTTGGAATCACCTCAGTAGTGGTAAGTTTGGTTTTGATTTTGCTGCTTTGAAGAGAAATAGGAAGGGACTTCAAGAAGTTCGTGGAAAAATGGAATTAAATGCAAGGTGTCTACTGCATATTGACACGCTGCCTTTTTGAACTTCAGCACTAGGGGTCGCTGGGTGAGTGAAGGAGGTGCAGACACTTCTCAGTTACTGAAGGTTGTTGTCTTGTGAGGCTCTTTGATGAAGGCTACAGCGATGAGACCCAGCTCTCCTTCCAGGATTTTACAGTTGAGGAGATAAGATGGGAAATGTAGCAATAAATGCTATTTCTTCAGGTAAAGGGCACACAGTTGAGTCTGAGCCTTGGTAACAAGGTAGGACCTGTTCTAGACCTCGTGCAGTTGGCAGGGTTGGGCGTTATTGGTGGGTCTCTACCTTGCCTGCACACTGGAAGCACTGAGGACTGGTCCCACCCTCTGTGAGAGTCTGCTTGGGGGTTGCTTGAGCATCACGACCCTTAACAGCTTCCCCGCTCCTTCTGTTGTTCATCGGAGGTTGAGCCCTGCTGAGCTGGGGCTTGTGGAGGGAAGGCACCCCAAAACGATGGACAATATGAGAAGGATTGTCCAAATCCAGGGAATCACAGGCTTGTATGGAGGCAGACTCTTATTAAGGAAGCATAGAAAGTGAGGTTGGAGAAAGAGGTGGAAGCTAGTTTGTGGAGAATTTCCAGGGCTAAACCCAGTAATGAAAACTTCATCAGTAAAGTGTTATTGTTTATGCCATCAAGCTGGTTCTGACTCATAGTGACCCTGGATAGGGTTTCTGAGGAGCAGCTGGTGGGTTTGAACCGTTGACCTTGTAGTTCAAACCATCCTTGTGGTCCAGTGCTTATTCTACAGTGCCATCAGGTTGGTTCCAACTCATAGTGACCCTGGATATGGTTTTCAAAGCTGTGAATCCTTATAGGAGCAGAAAGTTCATCTTTCTCCCATAGAGTGGATGGTGGATTCGAACTGCTGGTCATGTAATTAGTAGTCCAGTGTGTAACCCACTGTGGTACACAGGTTGCTAAGTGAAGTGTTGATGTTGTTAAATGCTGTAGAGTTAGTTCTGACTCATGGAAACCTTGTAGAGGGTTTCCAAGGTGCATCTGGTGGGTTTGAACAGCCAACCTTGTGGTTAGCAGTCCAGTGATATCCTCAGTGCCACACTAGGACTCCCAGTAAACTGTTAGGTATAACAAATTATGGACAACTTCTAAGTGTTAGGCACTGTTCATTGGTCATTGAATGCACCGATTGGAGCAAGGCCCAGACCCTGTCTTCAGAAACTTAAAGCTTTGTAGGGAGCTTGGTTTGACCAGGCTGATAGAAGGGAGTGAGGTAGTAAGACTCAGAAGTAGGGTAATTAATAGTCCAAATGTGAGGTACCGGTGGCTCCAGATAATCGTGGCATTCTTTGGAAGGACAGAAAGGACTTTAGTGACCTGATGTTAGATGTATCTGTCAGTATGGCTTGTGGGCAAGGGGTTGTTGAATGAGCCTCTCCATCTCTGCCCCAGTGACTTGGGAGTGAAACTACTAGTCACAACAGTAAGGAATTCAGAAGCAGTCAGCCTTTGAGGAGGAGTTGTTAAGTGCCGTCGAATTGGTTCTGACCAATAGCAACCCTGCGTAGGGTTTCTGAGGAGTAACTAGTTAGCTTGAACTGCAGACCTTGCGGTTCAAACCGGCTTTGCAGCCCAGCATGTTAACCCACCAGGACTTTGAGGGGGGCATGTGTTTATTCTTTCCTTTATGGCAGAAAAGGCACATCAGGCACCTTGAAGTTACTGATCGAGTGCTACTACCTGTGGGGTCCCTACCCTTCTTCCACGTCCAGTAGTAAGAGAGATTGAAAACTCAGTGTTTGACACTGGGTTTCTGTGTCGCTTGGCAATGAAAGCACCTTTCCCAAGTTTTATTGCTGTTGCTTTGCCTCAGAACTGTATTCAGCGGAGCTGGAGGCTGCAGCTTGGTCTGCTTGCATTCCTCCATAGCCTTCTGCTCTCTACGGGGCCCCGGAAGGGGTACCGCAAAGGTCAGTGTGACGATTGCTGGTGTGGTCCACTGTACCCGTTGTGGTGGTGATTCCAGCTCAAAGTGACTCTCTAGCACAGAGGAGAGCTCCCTCATAGGTTTCCAAGGCTAGAATCTTTACAGAAGCAGGCTGCCTCATCTTGAGACTGGTGGCTTCCAACAGCCAAGCATTTAATCACTGTCACCAGAGCTTGTGGTCCAATATGCAGTTAATAAAAAATCGAATGACCATGATTGACAGAAAATGCATTTTCCTGGTTGTATACTTTTTAGTCTTAGAGCTCCTTCATTCCTTGATCTCCTCAGTTCCCGCCTCTTCCTATCTTTTTGTTACCTTTTCTGTATTTCTGGAAGAAATTGCTGTCCTCATCTTTATTTTCTGAATATCCTAGTTCCTTTCACACTGACTTTAACCCAAAGGATTTAATCATGTACAGTCCAGGAATTCACACGTGTTGTCTTTCCCCCTGTCTCTAGCGCTAAGTAAGTAGCCGTTCTCTGGACCTGGCCTGGCAGGGGTCTCAGCGGGTCACGTGACTCTTGTTGTGGGGCAGTGTCTTCAGTGAAGAAGGGCTATCTGGACTGCTGCCTGGAGAGCCTGAAGCCAGTATGCGCCTTGGCCGTGATGATATCTGTGTGTACCCTTGCTCTTCCTGACAGTGGTGTTGTGAGTGCTTTTATGGGCTGGAGGATCAGTGGTCAAATCGGTACATCAGCCCAATTTTAGAAAGCTCTTTCCAACATAGCAAGTCTCCCCTCCCCGGCTCCATCCTACAGGTAGAGAGCCCTAAATCCTCCAACCAGGGAATTTATGTGACCTTTGAGTGACGTAACGTATGTTATTTCCTTGGATGAGCAACTAGAGGGAACTATTTTTACATTTCATAAATGCAGCCCTCCTGAATCAGTGTTTTTTCGTTTCTTTTTTTAAGACACCTTGCATGAGAAATTGAGTTCCTATAGCTACTTCGTAAATGCATCAGATCCTAGATCTCAGCAGTACAGTAATCTCAGAGGTTATCTTGTTTGACTCTCCGCATTAAACATGAGATCACAGGAACGCTAAGGACTCTCCGGGTAGGGCCTCAGGCGGACCGGGAGCCACCTTGAAATTGTGTCGGCACCCCAGGCACTTTTCCAGGCATCTCTCAGACTCCTCCCTAGTGCTGCTTGAGCATTGAACAGAATCCTCTGTAGTCATCTAGAACTTTAGCTTAAATACCTCAGTGGCAGGCATCGCCCCACCTCATCATCAGTCTGTTCCATTATCCTCTGGGCCTTGTGTCTGCGTGGGGGCCTGCCTGCCTGGGCTTTGATGGAGAGTCATTTGTTGGAGTGGCAGTAGTAATAGGGGAGAGTGAATGCTTCTATTTTCTAAGTGGGCAAAACAAGGGAGTGTCATGCATTTCGGCAAGAGCTTTTCATGAGAAAGCAGCATTGTCTGGCTGCTAAAGGCAAGATTTAATTGTTTCAGCAAATCAATTAGTCTTTAGGGACTTTAATCAGTCAAATCTGATGCATGGATGAGGTATTAGAAAACTTGAGCCTGTAAGACCATTAGTTCTTTGTATCTCTGTAGCATTTCTTTCTCTCTCTTTCTGTGTGTCTCTTGCTCTCTCATTCATGTCTGTGTGTCTGTCTCTGTAAGTACTGCCACTTGTAGCAATTTTTGTTAGTGATTCTTTAGTGGAAGAACCTAAGGTAACAGCTTGGTTGTAAAAGTGCAAAAGGAAGAAACAAGACGATCTTGCTACCCAATTATTATTATAGCTTTCTCATTTGCAATTGCCACCATCGTGCTGTGAGAACATGAAGCATGTTCACGACCTTCTGTCGTCTAGTTGACTTGGTCTCCTGGTAGAGTTCCTCATGGAAACCACTGAGCACATCTCACTCCTCTGTTGTTCTGAGGCTCTCTCCACCAGGGCCCTGCTTGTCAAGCCCCTTTTGGAACCAAGTGTGCACTTGTTTTCCAGATATACATCAGGGGACGTGAGGGTGTGGGACACCCGCACCTGGGACTATATCGCCCCCTTCCTGGAATCAGAGTATGAGGAGGACGATCCTGGCATGCAGCCATATGTCTCCTTTGTGAGGATAAACAGCTCGCTGGCGGTAGCGGCATATGAGGATGGTAAGTAACCGCAACCCTCCTCCCTATGAAGGAAAAAAAAAATGCTTTACAAAAATGAAGCAGCTGTGTCCAGCCCCCCCCCTCCAATAATCCCTCTACATATACACGTGGGCACACACACATGTTCATACACACATGTTCACACACACACTCCCTCCTGCCTTTATGTGAAGAAGTTGGCCAATAATCCTGAGTGCATTAGTAGGCATTGGAACACAGCACCCATTAAAACTGGTGTTTAATTCCGACTGGAACTGACGGGCTGGGTTTTAGTGCCAGACATGAGGCTGGCCAAGCCATCTTAAGCAAATAACTTGTTTGGTGTAAAATATTAAATATACTTGGCCTACCCCAAAGTGAAAAGGGAGGGATAGATGGAGACAGTCTATGGACAATGCCACTTTCAGTCCCTCAGAGTTTGTTTCTGGGACTTGTGGTGTGTTGTCTTTTATGGTCTCAGCAAGCTCTCTTGGTGAGTTAGGAGCAGCTGTGTGTTTACAGGACTGAGGTGAGGCTAATGTAAAAGGATTTTTACTTAAGTAATGAGTTCTTCACAGCTTGTCTCTACCAGCCATAGTCATTTCAGCGACCCCGATACCCTCTGCTCATACATGCTGTTGTAAGTTTGGGTTTCCAAAAGCTTGGTTTCCCCACTGACCAATAAATTATTTACAATTGTTTATGTTTGATGTCACAGCACTGTTAGCACATCTTCAGTGGCCGTGTAACTAACAGTAGACTTGGCTCAGAGGGACAAAGCTATATATATTAAAGTAGCCGGTGGGGGAATTCACATATCCATATGTAATTTAAAAATAATAAGTAAGGCTGAAATCTTGAATCTTTGTATGTTAAAGCTTATATAACAACATGAACTTTGTTCTTTTGGTCTGCTACCAATAGATTGTTTTCTTTTCAGCCTGTAGAAATTCAGTCCTGCTGTTTCTGTTGAATACAGACTACTACTGTTTTATGTTTGGTCATTGAGAGTCCAGACAGATAACCTAAGAGTAGCTTGAGCATGTTTGTTATTTTCCAAATTACCAATGAGTTTGTACAGTTTTTGAAACAGTTTTACAAAGGTTACTATGCTTTTTTTTTTTCTTCTTCTTCATGTTTTCTTGTGAATTATATGATAGTTTACATGGGAGAACACTAGTTTTACATTTATCCTATCGTACATCGTTTCATTGCTATGATTACAATCCCCTCCGTGCATCATCAGCCAACCAAAGGATATACACTACAAGCCTGCCACCCGGTCCTCAGCACACAGCCCCTCTCCCTCTCTGTGTCTAAAGTCCCCAACTGCTCCATCACTCCACGTCATTGTCTTCTGCCTCCATCTCAGGCATCACGAGGCTTCTTCGGGTAGGGTCCCATTCTCCACTCTTCTCCCTTGATGGTCCCAGGGACCTTCGCTCTTAAACTGAAAAGTTAATCACTCCCTCCTTGCTACAAAACGTCTACCTTTACATTTCCAACCCTAACAAGCAGTCCTGATAACAATTATTCACTATTGTATCACAAAAGACCCATCCGCCTTTCATTTCATCAGCCCCACCTAGACAGATTGTATACTACTCAGTGGAGTTTCTACCTTCCTTCACTCCCTTTGAATCTAGATTCCCTCTTGAAAGCTTCTAAGCCAGTCACTTCTTGCCTTTGTAGCCCCCTCATTTTGGGTAGCCAATGTCCAAGTTGCCCATCCCTGTCTACTCTGTGTATGGAAGGGGTGGGAATGATCCTTGCTGTATGGATTTGTTCCCTCTTTTGAGCTACAGTATCCATAGGTGTAGGTCATGTTCATCAAATTGTATCAGATTACTCTTTTTTGGTTACTGTGCTTTTAAGGTTAGAATCCTACAGTTTTAGAATCATCTGATAGTTGCTATCTGCTGTACACCTGCCTTCTACAGACAGGAAACCAAGATCCATCGAGGCCAAAGGATTGGCCTGAGGTCATGTCACTAGTGGCAGTGAGTCCAGAGTGGTGATTGGGGTCTTGCTGGCCAGGCAGTGGTTTCTGTATAAGTCCTACCACGCATAGAGACTCTGCCTGGTTGATTTGTCCCCTGTCTCATTTCTTGTGACCTCAGAAATACATCTTGAGGTGATGTACAAGCATGCTCCTGTTTTTAATATTGTTGATTATAATTGTCCTTGTCAGCCTTATTTATATATTCTTGGGTGGAAACATTGGGAGACCATGTAAATATGATAGAGAAAATGCTTTCTTTGGTAAATAATGGCAAGTAATTGCCAAATGTATTTTTCGTGCAGACATACCTTATTTTATTGCGCTCTGTAGACACTGTGTTGTTTTACTTAGTGAAGGTTTGTGGCTGCCACATTCCCAAGCATGTGCTCATTTTGTGTCTCTGTATCACATTTTGGTCATTCTCAATCGATTTCAAACTGTTTCATAATGCTATTGAGTACTTAATAGTGTCAACATAACTTTTATGTGCACTGGTGAAGGTGATTATGTGTTGTGGAGCTCGTTCTGACTTATGGTGAACCTGTATAGCATTTCCAAGGCTGTAAATCTTTATGGGAACAGAAAGCCTCATCTTTCTCCCATGGAACAGCTGGTAGTTTTGAACTGCTGGCTGTGACATTAGCGGCCCAACTAGTAACCACTCCGTTTCCAGAGCTCCTTTTTATGTTCTCTGCAGAGCAACACCAAAAATTCTGTGACCTGCTTATTTGCAATATTTGCTTTATTGAAGTGGTCTAGAACCAAACCCATGATATCTGTTAGGTATGCCTGTAGTTAATTTTTGAAAACTTCATAATTAAAATTCATGCAGCAGAAATTAAATAAAAAGTTAATGGCCTCTCACTGTTCCCCGCCCGACCTCTAGTTTACGCAGGGCACCTGCTCTCTATATATGTCTCTGGACCCTGCTCTTTTCATGTTAATGCCATATCTTGGCAGTCTTACAGGAAAGCCTTCTTTTTTAATAGGTGGGTAATACTGCATTATGTGGCTGGACTGTAATTTATTTGTTGAGCAGTATTGATGCACATTTGGGTTGTTTACTTTTTATTAGTAAAAACAGTGTTGTACAAGTGTCATTATGATGGACTTGTGCACACACAAGTGTCTCCTTGGAGTAAATTTTAAGTATTTACTGGCTCAGAGCCTGCAGGTCCTTTTAAGTTTTGACAGCTGTTGCCAAATTGCCTACCCCAAAAGTTCTTCCTGTTGACGTTCTCTATTAAAGTATATGAGAGAGGCTGTTTCTCCATACGTGTTTGGAAGGTGAAATGATACTTTGGTGATGTTTTTGTTTGCCTTTGCTTAAGTACTAAGAACATCAGTCATTTCATTCATTTAGTTTTAGTTGTTTGTATTTTTTTCACTGTATATTAGTTGTTTCTGTCTTGCCCCACTTTTCTTTTGGGTTGTCCATCTTTTCTGGTTGAAAAGAAAGGGATAAGACAGTAACTCTTATCATATATTTCAAATAATTTTTCATTTTGTCATGTATTAGCTAATAGACTTTGTTCATGGTTTATTTTCCTAGATAGTAGTTTTATATATGTGTGTGTGTGATTTTGTTTTATAATCCGTAAGTGAGTGGGTTTTATTTTTTATTTAAGATATTTGACAAGTTAATACATTTTAGAGTTCAAAGATCGAAACAATATACATGGTATATACATTGAAAAGTCTTGCTTCCACTTATTTTTGTCTACTCTCGTCTTCCATAGGAACCGTATTTTTTAGTTTCTTGTATACCCTCTCAGTATGTCTTTGTTGCAAATACAAGCAAATTTGAATATCTATTCTTGTCTCTCCCCTTTATCCCACAAAAAGTAGTGTGCTGTTTTACATTGGAACTCCTTCTGTGGCACTGTACGATAAGCACTGGACTGATGACCAAAAAATTGGCAGTTCAAACCCATAACCGTTCCTTGGGAATCCTGTATGGGGTCTCTGTGAGTCAGAAATGACTCACCGGCACTTAACAATGACATATTATTTCACATTTTGATTTTTTCAATGTAATAGCATAGCGTCAAAGGCTGTCCATCTCATTGTAGTGGAAACATCCTCTTTTTTCACACCTACATAATGATTCCATTGGTTAAAAATATGGTCATTTATGTACACCGTCCCCTGTTGAAGGACAGTTGACTTGCTTCTGATCTTTTGCTGTTACAATGTTGTGAAAAATCTTGTCCATATGACGTTTCATGTACACACAAAGAGGGTTGTTTCCTATGAAAGCATCTTTGGGATCAAAGAGTAAATAGAATGCGGTGATTCCATTTTGTCTTCTGACCAGCAAAGTAGGGCTTTGCCTGCGAAGTATGCTTCAAACTTTCAGATCTCTGTCAGTTTTGATAGGTAAGGCATGCTGTCTCTATGCTGTTTAATTGTAATTTGCATTTCTATTAGTGTGCATGCCATTGGATTCCCCCCCCCCATGTGTACCTGCTAGTTGTTAAGGAGCCCTGGTATCATAGTAGTTAAGTGTTTATCTTCTAAAGGAAGGTCAGTGATTTGAACACACCAGTGACTCAGTGGGAGAAAAAACCTGGCGATCTTCTCCCATAAAAATTATAACCTAGAAAATGGAACAACCAGAATGGAAATATGGGAGACTACTCACACATTGTAAAGAAAGCAATCAATGTTACTGGACAATTTGTGTAACATTTGTTTGTTGGGAACCTAAACTACTATGTAAACCTTCACTGAAAACACAATAAAATATTATTAAAAACACACAAAATCATATGAGAGTTTGCTGATGACCACATTGGTCTACTGGTGAGTGGAAGAGGGGGAAAAGCAGCAGTGAAGAAATGGGCTGAGTTCAAACATGTTCCATGGACTCTCGTTAACATGGAAATGAGAGAGAAGAGAGGAAGGGCTGGTTGGTTCAAAGTGTGATGAGACCTGGGAACACCTGAACCCATGGACAAGTACATACCTACGGAGGGCTAGAGGTGAGAGTGAAGCTTCCAGCTGATATGAAGTGAGG